TGTGGGAGATACACAGCAATGATGTGTCGTAAATCAGTCAGCCAATTGATTATTCTCTTTTAAGGCAGAATATAGGTTAATTAATATTAAGTTTGTCCAAAGTTTTGGAAGTGATACTGTCACTTACCAAAAAATAAAAAACAAAAATATATTGTCATTTTAAATTATATTATTATGTAAATAAGATATATGTACATTTATATCTTTAGAAACAAATAATACACTTTGACAGTGAAGAATTTGTTATATTTGCTTATATTCTTTAAACATTTAATTTTTATTTTAGACAAAAAAAATGGCTTTATGGTTAGTTAATCAAATGGTTGAACAAGGACATGCTGTCGCTTTATTATCTGGTGAACTCACTGTCCAACAAAGAATATCTGTTTTGGACCGTTTTCGTGAAGGAAAAGAAAAAGTTCTGGTTACTACTAACGTATTATCTAGAGGTAATATGTATAATTTTTTATTACTTATTTATTTTAAATTTWWATTTTATTATTTTAGGGATTGATATTGAGCAAGTCACGATTGTTATTAATTTTGATTTGCCTGTGACAGTCACTCGTGAACCTGATTATGATACGTATTTACACAGAATAGGACGTACTGGTCGTTTTGGTAAAAAAGGTATTGCCATTAACCTTGTTAGTGGTAGTTCAGATCATTTGATATTAAAACAAATTGAAGAACATTTTTGTAAACCTATTGAATGTTTGAATACTGACAATGCAGATGACATGGAAAAATTGGGAGCTGATGATTAATTTGTAATAATTGTCTGTAACAATTCTTTTTTAATCTCTTACAGTTGTAAAAAAAAATTATGATTAATTAAATCCTATATTAAGAAACTAATGTTAATTTAATAAATATTTGTTTTTTACCTTAAGTAAAATTCGGACTCAAAATCTTTTTGGAACAAAAGTTGTTTTATACTAATTTATAAATATAAAAATAATTTATCATTATAAGTAAACATTTTTATATTAAATACATTAGTATTTTTATTTTTAAGTTTTAAGTTTTTGGGACATAACTACATTTTTAAAACTTGTAAGCATTATTTTGGTAAAATAAATAAATGCAGATCCTTTTAATTTGGATGAACAAATAATATAATGTTTAAATGAAATACTTGTTTATTTATAGATTATTTTTATACCAATGTTTACTCTAATTTAGTTCATTTTATTTTAATAAGTATTATGTTTAATTAATTAAGCTCAACCTAATATGAGTGTAATTAATTTCAAAATATTTGATCTATTTATTGAAATAATTTAAACATCTCTTTCAATATTCTTCAGTAAAATCRTGAAAAACAATGTGTCTTATATTTTTTACCAAAAATATGCTTGGAATCTCTGTCGTGTACTGAGTACAATATAGTACCTTACAAGTTACAACTCTCATTTGTTGTTTGTGTTTTGCTCCAGCTCGCAATGAGTTATTAGATGTATTTGCGTATGTTTGAAACATAGAATATTAGAATCGTATAGTTAACTGTTTAGTCAAGATATCAAATAAACAAGAGACTTCTCAACTTGTTGGATGTAATGTTATTACTATTTTAATCGTTGTTGGTGTATCCATTTTTCAAACTTGAGGCATATTTCAGAATTGCTTTTGAAGGATGGCGATTTTAATGATTAAAATAGGCYCGAGTCATATGTTAAGCTTAATGAAATAATCATAGGTAAAAATATAATGTGTTTAAGGCTATTAGGGAACAATGGGTATTTGTTTGTTTGTGAGTTATGGTACTCCTAAAAACCCTTAGAACTTAGTTACAAATTACAATGAACTTAAACAATCGTTGTTGAATTATTATATATTTATATTAATTTCAAACTGAACTTGATTACAGAACGTTATAAATTTAAAGAGTGTAAACAAGCAGCTGACTAGTMTATTATTAAATTTGCTATATTACTCAAGAAAATGTCAGAATGTTGTGATTTGTAACCAGCTGAATCCATTGAATCTAGAAACCATACATTTTAATTAC